GAAAAAAAAAAATAAAAATTTTTAACCCGTGCCACCGAGCACATGAAGTTTTGTACTGAATTTGTATGGGAAAAAAAAACTTTTTCAGTATTTTAGCCACCGAATTTTTTGTACGTTATTAAAAAATCTGACTACTTGCATATCTTTTCTTGAATGCTGCCTGAAGACCCTCCAATTGGGCGCGGTCAAACAAAATTTTTTTTCGTTGATATATTCAAGTTTACATAAACTAAATTTTTATCATAAAAATTAAGAAAAATGCAAAATTCCGACTTTTTTCACTTTCTTTCACTTCCAACGTATACTAAAATTATTAACCATATTTTTTCAACATCTTTAGGAAATTCCACGTAAGATAGTCACCGAATTTTGTCACGAAATATGATTTTAAGGCAAGTTAGAAAATTTTTAATGAAAATGTAATTTTTTTGAAAAAAATCAAACGGAGGAAACATTTTTTGATTTATCCACCACAACTCGATTTTAAAAAATCACATCGAGTTTTACAGAGTTAATAACAGTTTTTAATTTATTATAATGGTTGCATCAATGTTTCCTTATTTACATTAGAATATTTCTTCTTATACATGTCGAGGCTTTGAATAATATATTGTTTCTGTTCTTCGTTATACGAAAGTCTATTGTTATAATCTGTAACAAGTTTAATAGCACGTTCTGCAACATCGTTCACAACTTTCAAATTTTTCACTATATTTAATCCATATTTATAACTTTCATTTGATACCCAACCTGCAACATCGATATTATCGATGTTGCAGGTTGGGTATCAAATGAAAGTTATAAATATGGATTAAATATAGTGAAAAATTTGAAAGTTGTGAACGATGTTGCAGAACGTGCTATTAAACTTGTTACAGATTATAACAATAGACTTTCGTATAACGAAGAACAGAAACAATATATTATTCAAAGCCTCGACATGTATAAGAAGAAATATTCTAATGTAAATAAGGAAACATTGATGCAACCATTATAATAAATTAAAAACTGTTATTAACTCTGTAAAACTCGATGTGATTTTTTAAAATCGAGTTGTGGTGGATAAATCAAAAAATGTTTCCTCCGTTTGATTTTTTTCAAAAAAATTACATTTTCATTAAAAATTTTCTAACTTGCCTTAAAATCATATTTCGTGACAAAATTCGGTGACTATCTTACGTGGAATTTCCTAAAGATGTTGAAAAAATATGGTTAATAATTTTAGTATACGTTGGAAGTGAAAGAAAGTGAAAAAAGTCGGAATTTTGCATTTTTCTTAATTTTTATGATAAAAATTTAGTTTATGTAAACTTGAATATATCAACGAAAAAAAATTTTGTTTGACCGCGCCCAATTGGAGGGTCTTCAGGCAGCATTCAAGAAAAGATATGCAAGTAGTCAGATTTTTTAATAACGTACAAAAAATTCGGTGGCTAAAATACTGAAAAAGTTTTTTTTTCCCATACAAATTCAGTACAAAACTTCATGTGCTCGGTGGCACGGGTTAAAAATTTTTATTTTTTTTTTTCCGTTGGGAAACTTTTTTTTTATTTATTTTGAACCACTTTTTGCCCGGAAAATGGAAAAATTCGAAAATCGCCAAATTAACGGACACCCTAATATATATATATATATATATATGTATAACATAATAAAAACCATTTTTTACTTGTGTTAAAACATTTTTAATTTATGTTCTTGTTATTTTTATTAAATTTTTGATACATCCAAGTTTTAATTTAACGTAATATTATTTAAATAGCTGGTGCTAAATTGATATTTAACATTTTCCTCAGTTTTTTAATTGACACAATGAATAACTGACAAAATGTATAGTAATAAAAGATGAATATGTGTGTGTGTTAATTTAATATATTATAAATCTTAATTTTAGTAAGAATATATGCTGCCATATTTGTATTTAAATTGTGTCAAAATATTACATTTTTCTAAAATATAATATTTTAATTTTTACGTAATACTTGTGTTACTCTCTTTTTCTTAAATTTTAAACTATGTACGTACTAATATTTACACACCTAGAAAATATTCTGCCAAAAAGTGGGAAATTTCTTTCAGCTTTTTCTCTAAGCAAAGAATCTTACATATAGTTGTATATATATATGTGTATACTATATCTATAAAAATAAAGATACATGAATAATAATGATAAAAAATTTTTATTGTAATAACCTGAATAGTCTTTTGAAATAAAAGAATAAACAAGATAAATACAAGCGAGACGCTTATTTGTTAGAAAAAGTTTGTCATTTTTATGTCACCGTAGCTACGCGTGCATGTCAGTATTATATATGCAAGACATTCTTCTTGCATTAAGAGGATTGCAATCTTAAATTCAGTATTTTATGGTAATACAAAATTACTCTACAAAGTAGATTCGTATATATATATAGGAAAATTCTCTGATATTAACATGAAACTAAAGCGACAGACTATTTTTTTAGATGTAAATTATTGATTAACAAAGCAATTACAACGCACGTAAAATAAAGTACTAAACAACGAAACATTAAATTAAATATTTATAACTCATTACATGATTTGCGGAAATTAAGACAGTATCTTTCTTTTTTTCCGATTGCTAAATATTAGGATGAACCGCAGAGATCATTTGACTTCTCGCTACATATTCTCATTTATCATCAACCAAATTCAGTTGAAGAAATATAATAGCTTAGCTATTAATTCACACAATCATAGAAGATTAATTCACGAAACGATCACCGCATGTTTCTCCGCGATAAAACACTCACTCCACGATAATTACAGAGATAAAACACTCACCATTTTCGTCGATTTTTAGACTTCTCGATGTGCGTATGCAGAAGACGTGATCGCGAAACGTACGTGTCAAAATGGAAATAAACGTAATATGGTAAACGTAGTGACGGCGTAGTTTGGTGGTGGTTTCTGGAATGGGTGTCTGGGGTTAGCGATGACACCCTTTATATAGGTGCACCCCGGCGCGCATATTTCCCCTCTCCCCTCGGCGCATTGGTCCTCTCTCCAGCCGTATTTGTGAGGAGGAGACATTCTCACCTGAGTTATGATTGGTCGGAGCGTACAACACGATACCTCTACATTATTTTGATTCAATTACACCATCACCACCGGCTACCGACCTACGTAATCTTCTTTATTATTTATGACTCTCGGCAAATAATAATTATAGGGGCGGATATGAGAGGATCCTCGCTACCATCATCGATAACAATATCGATGCACTAATCTCTCCTCTCTCGGTCTATTTATCATGGTTGTCTATCTATCGTGCAAAAACAACTCTTTATAAGTAGAAACAACAACGGTATCAAAACAACCGGCTTTCCATTTATACACGTCTATCTATCGTGTTTTAACCTACGATTCATAAAGATCAAATGAAGCAGCAACAGGTAAAGCATCTTTACTTTCCAATAGCCTATAACTTTTATTTTATACAATCGCTCTCCGTTACGGAAAATACAGTATAATGGTGGAGTAACGAAAGTACATTTGTGTCGTCATCAGTTACAAAGATATCGCAGTAAAAAAAACTATACACGAGAAGTTATACATGTCATACTGGTTTCAGAAAGCACATAAAATTTATTTATGTGCAAACTTGTTTCCGCTAAACAATTTTGAGGGATTCCGAGTTTCGGACGAGAAATAAATCAGAGCTTTTAAGTTTTAACGCGCTTACGCATATGCGGTATAGTCATACTTCGCAACAAGCTACAGTAAATTCATCTTTTCTTCATACCTTTGCGTACAGCTGTCCGTTATACTTTACCTTTTATGATACAGAAAAACAAAGCAAATTTGTTTGTAAAAGTTACATATTCAACGCATTGTAGGCGCGCTTGCAATGTAAGGGTTGCAATAATTACACGTTAATCTTGCAGTCAATCAAATAATTTTCAATTTCATGTACATATTATTTGTAGTACAAATATCAATTTTATTTATCAATTTTTCTGGGGACAGTTTAAAACCAAAAACATCTTATTTAAAGAATATTACATTTTTTAAAAATTTATTTAAATGTTGGAACAAATTAATATGTTCGTTATTAAAAATAAAATAACTAGGTATACTAACATAAGAGAACGAAATGATATTATGAAGAACCGTAATAAACGTTCGGACTTTTATCGAAACATTTTCAGTGTTTTAATAATAAATAATCAATTTAAAAGTAGCATTAACATTCTAATGTATTATAATCCACCAAGATATTTGATTAATCCAATGTTAGGATGTTTGTATTGCTGCAAGAGGCGAATATTTTGAGCAATACATTCAGCAAGTAATAATGTGAATAAATAAGTGTAAATAAATAAGTAATAAATACGCACAACAATGAAAACTACGAGTCACATACATAACTGTGCCTCAAATTTATACTAATAATAATCGATTTATAATTTTATTACAATTACATATATTTAAATAATAATTATAATGATGTAATATTAAACAATAAAAACGATTTATAATATATATAATAATAAATAATTATTTTGAAAATTATAAATTTTTTTATATTGGTATTTATACATATTATATAGTAAGTAATTAATACGATTTTATGACTAAATCTCTTTTTAGAGTCAAATGTAAATATCAAAAGTCGTACTTACAATGTTTCAAAGAAGTTGATGACTTTTTAATGAGAAATTCTTTTATTCGCTTTTAAATATATTTTCCCCTTAAAATAACGAGACATTAATTATTTTCCTGTTACCAAGTAAAAACTAAAAGTCTCTTTCAAGATAGCTTTAAAAGAAATCAATGGATAATTGTAATTGACGTACCATATTTAGTCATTTTCAGATAAAATTTATTGTACCTATAATATATTGGTGTTTTAATTTTACGAGCTCATTAATCGAAATACATAATGTTAAAAATTAAAGAGTTTTGTGATAAGTATAATAATAACTTCCTTTAATATTTTGATTTAAAAAAAAATTAATTTTAAATCAATTACATGTGAGCTTTTTGAATTTGTATACTGAGAAAATATTAATTAAACTTTAATAAATGTTTTTCTTAGTATTTTGATTTTAATTTGCAGTAAAATTGCGAAAATAATTAAACAGTAAAATTAAATAATTACAATGTAAAATTATATAAATTCTTAAGATAATAAGTATTTATAAAAATACTAATTAATATAAGTTTATTCTTTTGATAAACATTGTTTTATTAAAATAATTCTAAGGGAGTAACTAAATTAAAAAAATTTTAAAGCATTTTAAATATTAAGTTTTAAATTACAATTAAAATTTATTAAAAGCGTAAAGATTTTCTTACGAATTAATATCTCTACTTATAAGTTAAAATGCACATATCAGAAACAAGGAAAGCACACATTAGTTATCCTTTAAATGGAAAAACTCACCTGAACAAAAGGAGATTGGTGTCGTCATGTTCTGTTACATAAGCTCGTATTCAAGTTTAATATTAGCGTAAAGATCGTTTTTCTATTGCTGATATCGAGCAGATAGTTGCATAAACGCACGTAACGCATACTTGTTACTGCCGGAAGTAACGACGTAATGAGATCTACATATGTCACTATTTTGCATATGTATCAGTGAGAGTTTTCCAATTCATCTTCTTAATTATTTTCTTCATAATATTGTTATTATAAGGTATAATTATAAAAAAAAAATAACTTTCGAGATATTTAACATTTCATATTAATATGTGCCAGAATAAATATCTCGTAAACTATTATATGATTTTTTTGAGAGAGAGACCCGTTGTGATTGATCACTGATTACACTGTACAGCGCTTATACAGCAGAATAATTCTAGGCCGCGGTGAGTGGCTGGAGATTAATCGCAACGTGATCAAATGGATCCCGCTCTCAAAAAATTCTTCTCATTTTTTGATATCTTTAACTTAATATGTAGAATAATTAGAAGAATTATATTAACAAGGGAAGTATCACAACTGTCCGACTCCGATTTGATTCTCCATGAAATATGTTGTTAAGCACGAAAATCTAAGAGACACGTATTTTTTTATACGTGCCCTAACTCATGTTTAAGGGGTGAAACACCCCTTTGAAAAAAAACGGTATTTTTCTTTCGAGGCGAATATCGTCGGAAGTATAAAAGATATAGAAAAATTTTTTAAACAAAAGTTGTACAGTTTCAAGAGTACTTTAAAAATACAAAGAAAAAAAATTTTTTAATTTTTTTGTTTAACAAAGTACCCCCACCACCCATAATTTTTTTAAATTTTCATATTTTTTCTTTACCAAATTATAGATTATTTTTTTACGAATTCAACCATGTGTAATAAAGTTATATTACAACATACCATTTTCGAGAAATAATTATTAACGCTTCCGTATATACGTTATCCATGTTCATATTCGTATAAGTAATTGTCGTCGAAACAATAAGATACATGAAAAGATAGTTTAAGTAAAATTTTCATAGTTTTCTATATGCTTTATGAATGTACCTATATACATGCATTGAGATTTTCTGAATATGTAATATTCTTAAAATATATAGTACGGGGTGTTTTATTTTAATCCGACCACGCAGGTACCTCTGTCAAAATGAATGATAATGTATGCGTGCATAGTTTTAACGTACGCTATGCATGTATGATATAAATTACTATTCTACACCTTTCCCTGTTCAGAAACGTTGAACTTTCCAAGCGAAGTAACTTTCCCCACCCCCCTGCACAGGGGCATACGACTTCTACGATTGTACTGTCAGGGCAGATCTCTGACGACGGTGTGGGTGCGGGGGGGGTGGCCGAAGG